CTTTTGGTTCCCGGAAAGGAGCTCCTTCCTCAACTCGAGTTGTCCGCTCGGGTACACTGTCTAGAACATATACCCAGGTTGAACCTAGAATAACTTGACTTCATGACGGATCCCTAGTAGGAACGTTTATTTGCATCATGTTGCATTTGACTTAGGGGACTCAACACAGGGGTTGGGTCCGTCTAGGACAAGCAACCTGAAATGAAAAAAGACCATCCTGTTGCATCTTGTTTGTTTTGCACATTTATTTGCTTCAGATCTGTATGCTGACGGCTTCTGAAATCGGGAATTTTTGAAAAAATTGTGGAAAAAAAAAAGAAAAAAAAAATAGCAGTGTAGGGAGATAACTACTTATTTTTAGAAAAATAAAACCAATGTCCAAGTTGTGTCAAAACCCTGCCGAAATTTTGAAAAATGAAAAAAAAAATTCTTTTTTAGTTTGATTTATTTGAAATGAAAGGAGTCTTGTTTACAAGTTTAGTTTATGTTGGGTGAACTACGCCGGTTTGATTCTCACAGGGCGTGAGATACGTAGGCAACCCTCGTCAGGTCCAACTTCCCATTTTGCAAAAATAGCCCAAAAAAATGTCAAAGGTTTTAATTTTTCGTCATAGAGTTGGGTGATGCTGTTTTTGTCAGAAATAGCCGAATGCTCCCAAAAAAGGACGCGGGAAGGCTGACCTTGCATAAACGGCCACCTTTAGTCATTTTTTAGATTTTTGACCGATTGCCCCACACAACCTTAAAATCTTCGTCCCCGAGGCGCTGAAAGGTAGTGTTTGCAATATCAGATTTTTATTTTTAATTTGAAAAACAAGCAAAGAGTCACAAATGAGTCGGGTGATGCCATTTTTTATCAAAAATAGCCGAATGTTCCCAAAAGGGACGCCGGAAGGCTGACTTCGCATAAACAGCCACTTTTGTCATTTTTTCGATTATTGATCGGTTGACTCACACAACCTTAAAATCTTCATCCCTAAAGTGCTGAAAGGTCGTGTTCGGAAAATCAGGTCTTTCTTTTATGAAAAATAATCAAATCATTTTGAGTCAAATAAATTTTCTTTTGTTTAGTCACATTAATAAATGTGCAGAATGAGCACGACTCAAAATGAACCTTTTTCAATCATGAATAAAATCCCCATCCAGTTGCGGCTATGGTGGAATGATTTAGGCAAAGAAGGGCGAGATGAAGTCAAGAAACATCTGAAAGGTCTCACGGGTTTGTTGGGTATCAAGCCTCCCCAGCACAATGTCTTCCACTTCTCGGACTTTGAACTCACCTCGACTTTAGAGGAAATAGCAGGGTACATCGGCAGTGTTGAGGTTCCGTTGCGGCGTAAATACCTGGTTGCTCCAAGAGCCGTAGCGGTGCACCGATTTTTGGACTCTTTAAAGATAGTCAGAACGATCCATAACCCAGACTCGGCGAAAGGTTTTTGCACTCTGAGCTTCATATACCAAAGATACGGCCACATAGGAGGATTCGACAAGCTAGAAAACAAGTTGTGCAGCAAAAGTAACCGTCGAAAGTGGGATGAACATAGACGGGTTGCTTTCATGATAACCTTCTTAGGGCTTTTAGTGTTCCCAAGAAAAGACGAGAATATTGACATAAAGATAGCTGGGGTCGTCAGTACTTTGCTCACTCAA